TTTACTTCCCGTTCACTTTCCTGTGGAGTTGAAATTAAAAAAAAGCGACTGATTTGTGACAAAAACCCCACACCTTTCTTTACCTTGGCTAATGCCAGATGAAAGATGAGACCCTGCGTTTTTAGATTCATTAATATAAACTTTACAATATACCAGGTAACTTTAGCTATGCCCTAGAAAGTTCTAAGATTAGATTCTACCTATGGCATCTCTGCGGAACAGCAGATGAAGGCTAATACTACTACTTGTGATATTAGCAGGTTCACTTGTACTCACATCACCCTAAGTCTGTTTTTCGAGTTACAGCCTCATCACATATTCATTTATTAACTCCAAAACTCTCATCCAAGGAAGTAACACTGCTACCAAGGCAGAGCAGACCCTTCCCCTCAGTATCATCTAGAAGGAATTAACATCACTTTCAGTCACAAGAGTTTGCCCTGATATTAAAAAAATACAAAGAAATCAAACAAGCCGTCTCCTGAAGTTACATACATTGCCAACTCAAAAATAAAAACAAATACTCATACTGAAGTGGCACAAGAAGCTTCACTGAACGAGTGCCATCAACTTTAGAAGCAGTTAAGATTTTTATGAGCCCTTACACTTTGAGAGATGACTTTCCAAATCTGAACTGCATTACCCAGTAGGGTCTGCCTGTGTGCCCAAGAACAGACCCATTCAGTTCCTCTGCTGCTGTTCACAACTTTTTTACATTATCATCTGACAAACTGACCGATCTCATTTTAGTTTACAATGATGCTGGTGCGAAACTCTATATGCAAAGGAGCTATCAAGAATCAGAACATTATTTTATCCCTTACTCTCTCTCCCCAGAACACTGCAACAAAGGTACTGCGGGACCCCTCCACTCCTACCACACCACCTTTGGGGTGGGCGGGGGAGATCAGCAGTCACAAGAACAAACAAAAACAAAAAAAAGGAAGAGAATGCTTTTTTTTTTTTTTTTTGGTCACAAAAGGAGGAAATCTGAAAGTTCTTACACAACGGAGACAGAAAAGCTGGATCCCTTCACAAAACAATTACCCCAGACTTACTTTCCCCTTCTCAATTCACAGGGATTTAAATACCTTCTCCTCCCCCTCCCACCGTGGAAGAATCGAGGGGTCCACACTGAACGCCTCAGAAAACACACAAGGTCTCTTGACTTCAATGAACTCTCAGGTACCCGGTAAAGTTTTCAAATCCTGTGCCAAACACCAGAGTGCACATGAGCAGGCAAAAGAAAGAATTTGGCAATTGAGTGGGACACGCAAATAAACAAAGGAAAAAATAACGAGTGCCGTTTGGGGGAGGGGAGGAAATAGGCCTACAAAAACCCTGCTGCGCCCGACCACAGAGAGGCAAAAGAGGAGAAAAAGACTTAACAACGCAAAAATCTTTGCCACTTAAAACGTGAGACGCTAGGGGTGCCACGCAGGGGGAAATACACGTATATTTTACTTCGCTTAAGCCAGTCTGGCTAAATACAGCTTCTGGTCATGCATGTGAAACGTCACCCTCCCAAAGGCGTTCCACTGGCATTCCATTAACATTTCAGGCACGAGTCACTGAAATACATCACTAAGCATTTTTAAACATCATTTACAATGTAATAAAACACACAACTGTTCTATCTGCAAACTTTGAAAGCAATGCTTACTACAAAAAACCCTTATGATTTGTCTTGTAGCTCGTGAGAGGAGAGAGCGCTTGAACAACCTCAGAGGGACTCGCAACTGTCTGTACAGTTTGATTCTCAAACGGTAGCCTACCACTAACACAAAACCACGCTTGCAGTCTACGGCAAATGCCTTTGGCCAGAAATCACAGATTTTCGCTTCCATTACAAACCATGCAACCGTAAGGCAGCACGCGCTGCAAGTACTGAAGAGACGCTAGCTGCAGCGCTCTGAAGGGCTGCGCGGCACAGGCAATAAAACACCACAAGACGGGCGGACGCGAATGTCCGAGCCGCTTCCCGGGCGGCAAGGGCCTCCCCGCACGGGCAGAGCCACGCGACGTTCCGTACCGACAGAAGTTCGCGGGTCCGCGCTTTCCACCTCAAAAAAAGCTGCGCGAGCCCACCCGCGTCCCGGCGACAGGAGCGAGGGGAGCAGAGGGA